CAACGCGCTCGACTGCGCGACCGCGACGGAGATCTGAAGCTCCAGGGTCCAGGGGCAGGAGTAGCGGGAGGGGGCTGAAACCTCGCAGGTCCGCCACGGAGGCCTGGGTACCAAGCGGTGCTTGGGCTGTGTATTTGCCGTGTTTGGCCCACCTGGGGCCACGTTGGGGCCATCTGGGCCGTCTTGGAGCGCCTTGGGGCCTCCCGCTCCCGCTCTGTGGCCCAGCTTTGGCATGTCCTGGGGCTCACTTGGGCCGTCTGGGGTTCCTCCTGGGCAATTTTCGGGTTCCCTGGGGCCGTCTTGGGGCATTTTTTGTCGCCTCATCGGCGGGTTTTTGGGGCGGTCTTGGGGGCGTCGTCGGCAATCTTGGAGCGTTGGAAGCTCGAAAACGAGAGAAGCGGACAATCAAGGATTTGGGCCTCTTCGGGCTCTCTCTGGACGCCTCTCGGAGCTCTCTGAAAGCCTCTTGGAGGCCACTTGGGCTGCGTATTTGCCGTCTCGAGCCCATCTTGGGCCACGTTGGGGCTATCTGGGCTGTCTTGGAGGGGTTTGTCGAAGTCCCCCGGGGGGCTTCTGGGAGCGTTTTGGTGCAGTCTGGGGGCTCCAGGGTCACTCCAGGGTGTTCCGGGGGTCGGTCTCGGAAGCCCCGGTCCTCCCATGGCTGTCGGGGCCCAGCCTCTGGGCCCCTGGGCTCGTGCGCGGGTATATATGATATACGTATATGTATGTATGTATATGTGTATATATATATACACAAACACATATACACACTACAACCATCGCGCGTGTTTCGCGCGGGCTCAAGTTCTAGCTCGGCTCGATAAGCTAACTCATGTAATATCATGTTGGTCGCTTCTTGCGTCCAGGGACTCCTTAGGAAGCCCTGCGCAAGCCTCGGACTCGTATGGAAGAGGAAATGCGGAAACGCAGAAATCATTGTCTTGTTAAAATATTCAATCATTTTGGGTTCCTCAAAGGCTTCCTGTTTTTTTGGGGGGGGGTGTTGAAAGGGGGGTCTGAATTGTGGTCTGTTGTGCAAGAGTAGACCAGGAACCAAACTTGGACAAAAGAGGAACTGTGGGATTCCAATGTTTTTCCAATTTTTCGGCGCTGTTCGGCGCTGTTTGCTTTGTGTTTCGCGTGTTTTGTTAGCTGGGCCCGTCAGGGGTGTGGGATCTTCTGGACCCCCTGGGAGGTTTGGAGGCCTCCTGGAGGCTGGAACGCCGTCGGAAGGGTGTCTCGGGCTGCGCGGGAGCGTGTTGGGCCGTTCTTTACGTTCTGGGGGCTCTTTGGGGTCGTCATGGGTTGTCCTTCGGCGTGTTGGGGTCTCCCCCCGGGAAGCCGGGAGGCGCGGTACCAGCCAGATGTCAGGGGATGTGTAGGACCCCAGATGGGAGTCCCAAAAATCATGAAATCTTCGAAGGTTGGAAGCGGGAAAACGTGACAAGGCGAAAACATTAGAAACAACAGTTGGAAATCAACGATTTTACCCTTTTTGGGCTCTCCAGGACGGCTCTCGCAGCTCTCCTGGGCTGTTGTTGGAGCCTCGTCGGAGCCTTTCTGGGGCGTCTCGGGGATCGGGTGTGTGTTGGGGGCCTGGGGGTGGTCCCGGAGGCCTCTCGGAGGTCTCTGGAAGCCACCTGTTCCCGTTTTTGGGCCCATCTTGGGCCGGTTTTGGGGTGGTTTGGGCCACAGACAATATCAACCACAGGAAAAAAAACGCACATTTGTGCTCAACCAATACGGCCGCTATTCAACACATCGATTTATAATTTCGCCCCACGTTGAGACTACCAAAAAACATTTTCACTGAGGAAAATCTGGAACAAGGTATCTTCACGAATCCGGCACAGAAACCACAACAGAAGAAACCGCGCTTGACATGTGCGGGAAAAACGTGATCGATGAGCAGTGCAAGAACGTGCATCAACATCACGATCAAGGTCCATGCAAGCGCGCTCCCGAAACGTCCTCAATGATGAACTCTTCATCTGTCGCCTCCGATTCCCTCGCGCGAGCCACGGCCTGGCAATCCAGGGCCTCGAAGCAGGGTCTGGAACCCCATCGAGACTCTGGAGGAACACGAGCGGGCAGTCCGCACAGGTGCACGGTCGTCGCGTTGCAATCTCAGCCGGCGGCGGTCGGATTCCGACCGCAGGGCGGGCCGACGAAGAAACGCAGGCCAGGGGCGGGACGGGGACAGGCCAGAAAGCGAGTAGCCGAGGAGCGAGAAAGGGAGGAGGCGAGGGAGGGACGACGACAGGACAGGACAGACTGGGCCGACGGACGGAGGGACGGGATACGGCGAGAGGCAGACAAGCAGGGAGAAAGAGAGAGAGAGAGAGAGAGAGAAAAGGAGAGGACACAACACAAAAGGATGAGAACATACGAGGGCGAGAGGGGGAGGACACGGAGAGAGGGGCGGGGAGAGGGAGGGGGGCCAGGGGCCAGAGACAGGGCAGGCAGCGGGGGCGCACAGGGACAGCGGGCAGGGGGGGGCGCGGGCCCAGCTCGGCGGGCAACAAGTGAGACGGTATCGGCTCATCTCGTTCTACAGCGCACGCGGCTGTGAGAGTGGAAAAGGGAAAGGAGGAGGAGGCGGAGGCGGAGAAGCACCAGGGGCATTCACTGCCGCAGCGGCGGTGCGTGGCCGGGCGACCAACCGCCTACCTCCACGCCCGGGGCGGGATCGTGGAGGCGTCGCACAATGGCCCGCGCGTTTTCCCTGTGAAGGGAACGAACGTGGCAATCGCTGGGCTATTCGCAAGCTCTCCCCCTCCGCCCCCCCGCACCAGCAGGCGCCCACGTGCTTGGTAATCGTGTCCATGGTCTGCCGCGCCGTCTTCCCCCAGCCGTCGCTGTGGGATTCGATGACCATCGGGACAGAAGACAGACCCGCGCCCGTGCACAGTTCCTCTGTTGCGGCGGTCTCTCCAGGCGCCTTAAAGACCTCTTGAAGTCCTCGCATGCGCTCAGGACAGACTCTGGGTTCGTCGCAGCGTCTCGTAGCACACCTGCGCGCACACCCGATTCGCATGCGAAGTCCAGGGCAACAGGTGTCCCGCCCAGAGCTCGAAGGAAAAAAACATCGGCAGGGCGTCTCCAGGACCTTGCGACGCCCGGGGCCTCCCCGCCGCCACTGCTGGGAAGCGTGCCATCGTCCCGCGGGCGTTCCGGGAGCAGACCAATCAAGCTTGCCGAAGGGGGGGGCAGCATTGCCTGGACTGTCGGCCGCTGCGCTAAGAGAAGCCCTAAACCCTAAACCCTAAACCCTAAACCCTGGTATGCTATGCTATGCTACAGCCACGGTATAACATGAGAGGAGAGATGATCTTTATGTGGGGGTGGAGATGCGGGGGGGATTGATAGCCGCCGCAGGTGAGTGCCTATGCAGGTAGGTATTCCTGGCCTTGCCCTGTTAGACCCTAAATTCCCAAGCGCCTCGTTGTGCTTCTGCCCACCCCACCGCGCATCACCGTCGCCGTCTACGAGAGACAGGGCATCTCTGAGATGCTTGAGCATGTTGCCCGAGTGGGTCGCCTTGGCAGCTTTTGCTGCTGCCCTCCCCCTCTTTTGGGGATTCGCGCTTCAACGATAAACCTCCCCCTGATCCTCGAAGAATATAACACCCTAAACCCAAAGACCTTTTCTTCGAAGTGACGCCTGGGGGCGCCTGGGAGCACCTGGGAGCGCCTGGGAGCGCCTGGGAGCGCCTGGGAGCGCCTGGGAGCGCCCGGGAGCGCCTGGGGGCGCTTGGGAGCGTCGGGGAGCGCCTGGGAGCGCCGGGGAGCGCCTGGGAGCGCTTGGGAGCGCCAGGGAGCGCCTGGGAGCGCTTGGGGGCGCTTCGGAGCGAGCCGGGAGCGCCTGGGAGCGCCGGGGGGCGCCTGGGAGCGCCTGAGAGCGCCTGGGAGCGCCTGGGAGCGCCTGGGAGCGCCAAGGAGCGCCTGGGAGCGCTTGGAACGCATTTGGGAATTTAGGGGCCAGCGGCCCTAAACCCTAAAAGGCTGCAGTTTGGGAGGTTGCCGGCCATGCGGCCGGGGGTTCCCTCTCTGGACCCATATGACCCCTCAGCGCGTCTTCGAACACCAAGTCCCGCAAGCGATTGTGGCGGACCGTGCGGTCACCGCTGCATTGGCACACGAGGGCATGGCCGCCGAAGCTGTCCATGGTGCCGCCGCACATGGGGCTGAAAATGTCGGCATCCTGCACAATCTTGAACAGAACAGGCTCTATGGTTCGCGCGGCGTTCGCTGGCGGCGCGGTCAGCCACGCCCCGGCCCCGCATAGCTGCTGGAGGGAACGGCGGGCCGCGAAAGAAACGTCGGCTGAGCTGTCGCGCCTCAGGCCCTGCTCCCGCTTGGCATCAAACAGGGCCGACATCGCTTTTTGATTTTGCCCAAGAGGGGCAGCGGCCTCGGGCGAAATGCGCGCGGCGTGCGCTGGTCTCGCTGCGTCCCGATGCAAGTGGCCAGCCGTGTCATCAGGGTCGAAGCCAGCGTCAATGGACACGCACGTCTCATTCGTGGTGTGCAGAGACGCCAAGTACGCGGCAGCCGCGTGGTCGCTGGCCCCTGTGAAACCGACGCCGCCCCGCTGGATTCCCAGCGTGGCGTGCCTCCACTCGCGGTCTCCAATCTCGGCGCCGAGGACTTCCTCGAGGGCCGCCCGCTGGTTCGCCGTGAACTCTTGTCACGCCGATCCGACCTCAAAAAGACTTTCGGGCCCTCTCGCGTGAAGGGTCCCAAACCAAACAAAAAAAACACTGATCGGGTAGGCGAAACCGCCCTGAGGCCCCGCGTGAAATACTAGAGGCTTCTAGATACGCCCCGACAAAAAAAAAACATAAAACTCAAAAGACCCCTGACCAGATACACAAAATATAAAGATGCATTAGTGTTCGCCAAAGTTGACCCTGCCAACTCATAGGCGAAGACCCTAAACGATTTGTCCCTCGTCCCGACAGACATTCCGAAACTATTTGGGACAACTGGGATCCGAGCCTCGCTTCCGCGCGATCGCGCGGCGCGCGACAGTGGATTTGCTGCCGCGAAGCACCTCGCCGCCGCGGGCAGTCTGCGGCGCCAGCGCCAGTCCCAGTCCGCGACTCTGTCGCGGGCGGCCGGTGCGGTCCTCTCAAGACGGCGGCGGCGCCGACGACGATTGGCCAACTGGCAAATCAGGTAATGGACTTTTTCTGATGAGGAGGAGGACAAGATGGAATGCGACCGCGACGGCACAATTTCACACTGCTCGGCCTCAACCATCGTGCGAACCAAACTGTCGCCAAATAAACCGGGATCCCGACGCCGCGACCCAACCTGCGGTAGCTAGGCAACGGGGCGTGGCCCGAACAACTGGAACGATCGTGCTGCATCCGAGGACCCCACGAAACCCTGACGGCTAACGACGGTTGGCCAAACCATCAAATCTCTGGCAACCGTCCCGTGTCGTCGCGCTCGCTCCTGCGCCTCAGCGCTGACCAACGCCAGTCGGTGCGACCCGGCCCTAATCTACGCTGAATTGCGAATCGACGATCGTTCGGCGCTCTGTCATCGATTACCAAACGCAAACGCGAACGACTGCGCTCCAAAGACGGAACTACGAGGACACACGCGGCTCACATGAGTTGCTGCCGAACGGTCCTCGCACGACGGCGGCGACGACGGCGATGGTTGGTCAAACGACAAGACGACAAGGCAGGTAATGATTGGAAGCGTTGGGTTCGAATCCTCGTTGTTTTCGGACTACCGATGGCCAAACCCCAACCACCTTGCGCTGGGAAATAGAACGCTGGGAATTGTGCCTCATCTTCGGCCGCCGTGGGCCCTCGCCAGGCTCGCCGGACCCCTGGGGCCTTCCAAAGACCACTCTGCACGAAAAGCCAGATACAAAGGAGGCACGTCACGTCATACGAGCATGGAGTGCAAGCGGCACGAGGAGCCCACGAGGCGCCCACGGGGCGAAACCTCGGCGGACTCGGCCAGCGCAGAGGGCACCCACGAAACATCCACCACGCAAAACCTCGGCGGACCCAACCATCGTACCGGACGCACGCGAGCCGCCTGCGGCCCGCCGGGCGAAACCTCGGCAAACACGATTAGGTCGCGACGCGGGCAAGAACCCGTGAATACAAACCGCTGTTCTGGAAAACAAGAACATGTACTCCTCTCTCGCAATCGCCTTCGCCCGCACGCGTATCGACATCCCGATTCCCGTACTTCCTCACGTCTACCTCCCCACCTCCTTTTCTACATCCCTCCTTCCCCCCCCCCGCCGCTTCCACCGCCCCCATCAGAGCTCAGGACCGCGGACATAAGTGTTGCCTTCGACACTCCAGCGCCGCAAGGGTTTGGCGGGCTGTAGGGGTATCAACGCGGGCCGCCTCCGGCCGCCAGATGACTGGGGGGGATGGCGGAGGAAGACCGACCTAAAAGGGGGCGACGCGAGGGGGATCACAGGAGGACAGAAAGGAAAGAGGAAGAGAAAAGGGGCTGGAAGGAGCAGCAAACGCGACGGACGGGCGGCGAGAGGAGGAGGGGAAGAGATCCCCTCAAGTCCAGAGAGGCCAACGCAGCACCACCGGAGGGGCGGGGGGGGAGGAGGGGGAGGGGACCGCGACGGGAGGTGGAAACGAGGGGGGGCTGCGTGGCCTGTTCTGGCCATGGGGCTGTCCCTTAGGTGTTGCGGTTTTCCGTGGTCGTGGTCGTGGTCGTGGTCGTGGTCGTCCTCGTCGTCGTGGCGTCGTCGTCGTCGTCCTCCTCCTCCTCCGCCTCCTCCCGTCCTAATCCGCGCCCGTCCCACGAAGCGGTACCTGGCGGGCGCGTGCCGGACACAGCGCCTCGGCGTGCATGATCGAGGCCGCGTTGCTCGATGTGGCCACGATCTCTCAGGCCAAGGACTCACGATGATAATGGAAGCGTCTCGCCGATGGAGGGGGCCCTGATGGACCAGGCGTGTGTGGTAGTAGTGCTGGAGCAGGGCGTGGAATACGGCGCGGGAGACGCGACGGTGGACCTGGCACTCTGGGCACGTGACGTGGCCATGCTTGCAGGTCAGCGGCGCAGCGGCGCCCCCAGAGACGGCCGACGCGCAGACGGCGCAGGTCTCCAGCCCCCGGACCTGATCTGGTACAGCCGATGTCCATGCTGTTCGCGGCGGCCCCAAAAGGAGTGGATTGGGCTCTGGCGCAGGGTCTCTGGCCATCGCTCGGACGTCCATTCGCCGTGCATGTTTCGTTGTCGTGCGTGTTTTTTCTGCCCGATGAAACAAAAGATGCCCCTCGATGGTCCTCGCCGAAGAAAAAAGGCACGCGTCCGAGCGATGCCCCAGTCTTCGCAAGATCATGCCGTAGCGCACCCAGGAGATTTCCGGCTGGTTGGTCGCAGGCCACGTGGCACGTCGGCAGGGCGGGGACGAGCGAGAAATGGAGTCTCCCTGCTGGCCTCCGGCCGCCTGCCGCGGCAGCTCCTCGGAGCCGGGATGACCGGCAGGGGTGCCCACGCACTCGATGCCCTCCTCCTCTCACAGGGGGTCTGTCGACCCTGTCCCAAGCCTCGTGGGGTGTTCGAATGGACCAGAAATTTGGGGCCCCACCCTGGGATATACGATGGGGGGGCGTCCCTCCTCGATAGGGGTGCGTCCGAATATAACCCCCTTGTGGTGTATCCCAGGGTTTCCCTCCATTTCTGAGCGGCCTCGTTTTCCGTCGAAGTGTCGGGGATGTGGGGGGGGCAAATCGCCTGCGATCCATCCCGCCTTTTTCCTCCTTGTCCTTCCCAGCCTGGTGGCAGCTAACTCCTCCTCGGTGATAAGCCTGGCACACACCGTGGCGTCCCAGGGCGATGTGCTGTTCACCCTGGCCCACCCCTTCCACTGCCTGTCACTCGGGCCCCTCCTCCTTGGATTTCTTCGATGTTTCTGGATCTCCTTGGGCACTAAGGAGTGTCGGTCCATCGCTTCCTCCTCCTCATCCTCCTCGCTTCGTCTTCACTCCACCTCCTCCTCCTCCTCCTCCCTCGATTCGGCAGCCAGCCCGGGGGGGAGTAAGAAGGGGGAAACTTTCGCAGAAGGCTGGGAAGTCCCCCGGCCGTTTGGAAAGTTTCTTGAGCCTCACTCGGAACGCACAGAACACCTCTCAGAAGGCGCGTGGGCTGCTGAAAACTCCCGCCGCCCATTGAGAGGGCCTCCTCCCCCCCTCATTTCCCCCCCTCGCTCGTCGCGGATCGATGCTTCCTCGCCCTTGCACCGATGTTCGTCGTCCCTCTTCTGTGCGCGGCCCGCTCCTGGCCGCGGGAAGGTGGGACGACTTGAGGTGATATGGCTTAGAGGCGCCTTAACCCCGTGAGTGGGTCCAGTTACCTGGCTTTACCACCCTGTAGGGCACTGTGGCCCGATGTGGCATGGCCCGGGGCCATGTGTGTCCAGACCGCACGGGCGGGGACAATGAAACAATAAGGGGCATTGTGACTACAGGTAAGACGACGTGGCCACGGGGGGTGCAATAACACTGAGCGCGTGGCGAAGCAAGAGCGAAGGTCGGGGGGGGAACACGTGGATGACGGGGGGACAGACAATGGAAACAACATGGAGTGCAAGACGCGCGGTGATGGGGTGATACGAGGCCGTGCCTGACCGGCGTGCTCATTATGGAAGTGCGCTGGGCGAACTGCGGGCACGCGAGCTGCGCAGAGCAGTGGGAGGGTGTAGCGTGGGCGGCGGAAGCGAGGAGGACCGACGGAGGGGAGGGAATGGAGGGGCGTAGGAAGAAGTGTTCACTGGGCCTTTCGCGTCTTTTTCCCCGCCCAAGTCTCCGCCGCGGACAGGGCGGGGAGGAAACATTGCCCTGGAACGACCTGGTGCGCCCTGATGCTACAAACACTTTGCACAGCATCATGTCCCAATGCGACCACCGAGCCTTCAGGAACGCCCAGTACGCCCGCAACAAGCCAGAGCCTTTGAATACAATAGTTCAGCTGCCTTGGATAACTGGCCTCATGCGGCCAGACATGAACTTGTTGGGCCTGTGTACTTTCTGGAATCCAATCCACGACAATTCCGCGCCTGGGCCCCCTGTGGCGCAATGGGAAAAAAACTCCTGCGCATCCACCTCTAATTTGTCGTTACATTCGATGCAAACTACCCGAACAGCTTCGTGAGGGAACAACATAAAATGTGCTCATCCCTGGGAAAGCATCCGAATAGGGCCGAGGAGTGGGTGATTTGATTGCGACGGAAAGCCTTGCCCCTGTATTTGTTAGACCAAATCTTGCACCCGTGGACAGCGTGAACCATTGACGGAGACGCCCCCAAGAGGTGCAACTGATGAACTAACTTTTCGTGGCGCTTCTTTGCAACTCGCGCACCATGGGAAAGGATAACGAAGCAACGTGCGTTTCATAGTCCTGTCCCCTTGTGGGAGCACAATACTATCCGGTGTAGCATGGAAAGCCCGACAACGAGAAAAGGAAAGACCGTTCGACATCGTCGTTGGCACACTGATGCGAATTTCCACACTCACAGCGAGCCCATTTGGGATACGTCATGCACTTTTGGAATCCAGCTTGGTCTATGCAAATAGCCTGATCCAAACACCGCTCGAGCCGAATGGAAGCCACTGAAAAGCATCGCCCGACTGTTTTGTTCAGCGGCGGCCGTTGGCTGTAAATCAAATCTGGACAATGCGAATCGGTCGGCGTGGCCCTCTTTTTGCCTACGAAGGTGCGACGGGGACCGCGCGCAGAAACAACCGTGGTCTAGTCAGAACAAATGCCCAACAAGGAAATGATGGGGTTGAGAGCGCTTGGAACTTCCATGCGGCAGTGGATCGGAGAAACGCTCGGAAGGCCTTGGTCACGTTCTCCCCCCGGGAGGGGCGCGGGGTAGGGGAAGCGGAAATGGAAGAAGCATGTGATAGGAGGCGGGCAAGAAAAGGTTGGCCGGGCAGAAAAGATGATGGGGTAGAGAAACCCTGGAACCTAGAATTGGCAATGGGTCGGAACAGCGCTCGGAACGCAGTGTGCACGTTGCAATCGTTGTCCCCCGCTCCTTCCTGAAGGGACGTGGGTTCGTTCCACCTCCGCGTAGCTCTCGTATCTCCCCCTCCGCCAGCGGCCCGCTCACGTACCCCATTCTCCATGGGACAACGAGGCCGGCACTGGAGAAGCGGTCGGATCTGGGAGGGGCGACCAGCGCAGGAGACGCGGCCCAAGCTGAGGGCGAGAGGGCAGGAGGAGGAGGGCACGCCGCGGAGAGGGGAGGTCCCGCCTGGCCGACGGCCAGCACCGCCTAGTGGATGCTGTCCTGGAGGGCGGGTTGCCTCCTGAGGACCTGGCTTATACGAGATTTGAGAGCTTTACAGAGTCCGGACTCTGAGGAGGAGGAGGCGGAGGAGGAGGAGGAGGCGGAGGAGGAGCTGTTCTGTGCGGGGCACGCTCCTGGCCGCGGCGACGCCGCCAGCTCCGCCGCCCGCGCGGAGGGGCCCTCGCAGTCCTCGTCGCTGTCCAGCAGTATGATCCTCCGGCGCTTCCTCCCTGGCCCTCCTCCTCCTCCTCGGGCGGGGGGCCACCTGCGCCCTCCTCCCTCGTCAAGAGGAGGAGGAGGAGGAGGAGGAGGAGGAGGAGGAGGCCTTCCCTCCTTCGCCCTCCTCCCGCCCCTCCGCCCTCCTCCCTCCTCCCTCCGTGCCCTTACTCCTCCTCAGAGGGAGGGGCCCCCCTCCTCCCGCTCCTCCTCCCGCTCCTCCTCTCCCTCCTCCCCGTCCCGCGCACGGTGCCGTTGTATACCGTGGTGGTGCGGCGAGCACCAGTGGACGTCGGGTCACACTGCCCCCCTAAGACGGGGCCAGGACGAGGATAACATCGGATGAGGATAAATCGAGAATCTCTCTGAGACCCGACGGCTCTGGAGGATGTCTCGGGCGCCACGGTCTTCTCAGAGCGATCCAAAACGCTCTGAGAGCGTTGCGGAACGCTCTGGAAAGAATTTATCCTCGTCCTGGCCCCGACCCTGCCCCCCCCGCCGCTATTATTTGGACAGGCTGCGAAGGAGGAAACGTCATGACCACTATGAACCACTCCTGTGCGCGACCTGCGCTGGATCTTGGCGGCAAGCTGGTCACCAACTACCACCTTGCCTGGGAGGAGTGCGACCACCATGCCGATCACCCGATCTGCGAGACGACGCGCAATTTGCAGGAGCGCTCCGACGGGATGAGGTTTGCCGTGTAATCTGGCTACGGGGCCTCACCCCCGCCTCGTGAGCGTGCCCGCCAGCTGTGCGAGGCGCAGGCGACGGATGAACGCCTGAGGGGCGACGACCACGGTGAAACGATGCAGGCCAGGAGCGAGTGGCCACGCCACCGTCTGTGGCGACGGCAGGGCGTTCCCTTGTACCCTGGAGGGCACCTCTGGCAAACTGGAGCTCTGGACGGACTCGGCCGTATTGGCCACCAAGCGGCACGCGGGTCGACACCGAGCTCTGCGCCGCTGGATGGGCAAGGAATCGGCGCGGACCTCCGAAAGTTTATCCGCGGATGCCGTTTGCTGTTCTCCGATTGGGTTCAGCGTGGGAAGATCGGTAAAACATGACATGTCTCGCCGCAGGGGACGTCTGTCCCAGGGTGGCTCGGAGACTCGTGCTCCCGACGTCATGTCGCAAGGGTTTGCATCGACTTTCCAGCTGCCCCGGGAAAGGCGACAGGCGCCCCCTGCGGCGGAACAGTCTGTGTGATGCCTCTCGTGGAGTCGGGGGCGCGCAAACATGGATTAGCGATCCATGGATTAGGCGCGCGGTCGCTAAACCCATGGATCGGGAGAGGTGCCCTCCCCAGAATGCGGCCGGTGCCGCCTCGTTTGGCGGCGGAAATCCGCGATTTCCCATGGAAACAGGTCCCGTCGTTCATCCACGCCCCCTTGATCCATGCTTGCGATCGCCTGAGTGGGGGAAGGGGCTGCTCCTCTTGCTGACAAGGCTCCTCTTGCTGACAAAGGCCCCTCGTGGAGGAGGAGGCTCCTCTTGCTGACAAGGGCCGCGCCCTCCCAAAGCGCAGCGACCCCCGCGTGCGGCGCGAGGCTGCATGCCGGCCGCGCGCCCGGCTGGCCCATCGCTCGTGGGGCAGCAGTCTCGGAGAGAGGAGGGAGAGGAGGACAGAGGGATGGGGAGGGGCTCCTCCTCCTGTTCTTGTCGCGGTTCGGGGAGGTCCTCTCCTCCTGTTGCTCCTCGTCCCCAGTCCTCCTGCTGCTCCTGCTGCTCCTCCTTCTCTCCCTTCTCTCCTCCCTGGAGAGAAACTCCTCCCTGCCTCCTCCTCCCTCCCTCCTCCTCCTCCTCCTCCTCCTCCTCCTCCTCGCCCTCCGCGAGGGGAGGGACAGAGGTCGAAGCTAGTCCTCTTCCGACTCCTACTTCCTCCTCCTCCCCTCCTCGAAGGAGGGAGGGAAGGGGGAATAATGCTGATGCGTGCGAGTGAGGGAGGGATGGAGGGAGGGAGAAGGAAGGAAAGGAGGGGGGGCGGGAAAGGAAGCAGGGATGGGGCACTGATGGGCGACCGCCGCGCTCCCATGGGCGCCTTGCGGGCACGCTAGAGGGAGCAAGTCAGGAGACCCGCTCCAGGCCTGATAGCCGCCACGCCCCCACCAGAGGACCGCGGGTCGAGGCGCAGGCGACAGGAACAGGAGGGACGAAGAGACGTAGGAGGAGTGTGAGCAGGCGGGGAGCACTCGGGAGAGGTGCTCCACTCTCACACTGCTTGCCCCTTCTCTCCCGAAGCTGTGGCTCCGCAGGGGCCTGACCCAGTGGCACTCGGGGTAGAAGCCCACAAAGGGGCCCAGGGGCGGAGATACGTCGTGCCGACGCGCTCCCCCCATCCGAAGGATGAAACCCGCTCAAAAACTGTCGTCGATTTCGTTGGGACCGTTCGCTCGAACGGTGACCTGGAGACATCGACACGGATTCGGCGAGAGGGTGACACGCTGTTCCCGTCGTGTACAAGCCGCACGACACACAAAAGACCGCGCGGGACGGGGACACCCAGAGCCTGTGGCCCCTGGCGGCCTCCGAGGGAACAGGACCCCGCGGAGGGGGGAGGGACGGCGGGCACCGTTGTGGCTCCCAGGGCAGGACGCGAGTTCCGTCCTTGGGTCCCTAGGCATGAAGGCAGGACCAGTACGCTCAGGGATCGCTATTTCCCTGGTCAAGACGCGATTGGTCTGAGGACCCCACCAGCTGGATGGGGTCAAACGCAGCCCTCTGACGCACGTTTCGACCACAGCCATCCGAGTCCGAGTCGAGGCCCGCCGAGGTCCGACGGCGACGAGCGACGAGACTAAGGTCCGACACATCAGGAGGCGAGGGGGGGGGCAGCAACAGCAGGGAGGCCACTGGTGCCTCTCTCGGCCAGTGGGGCCTCCCTCGCCCCGCGGTCACTCACGCCGACGCCACCTTCTAGCAACCCTCTCCACCAGAGGGATCATCGCTACCCGAAGGCCTGGGTAGAGCGTCGCCGCCGATGTCGATCGGCGCCCCAGGCGTGGGACGAACTCCCTGCGCCCCAGGAAGCTCCGCGAGCTCGAGCACAGGCGCGCCCTCCTTCGCCCAAGGGAGAAGCGACTGCTTTGGGGGTGGTCTTGGCCCCAACCTTGCAATACATACACCTCTGGATCTGCCTCCGACGAACGGCGCGCATAGCCTGCGCCATCCAGTGCAGCACGGACACCGGGCTCTTATGGGCGACGGCCATGGCCTTCAAGGAGTCTGTAAGGGCCCCATGGAGATGGCGACCGTGGGCGGCCGCAAAATCGGCCCACCTACTCCCACGCGAGAGCTCCCCAGTTCCCTTCTGATGGCCGCGACACAGCTCCACAGAGACGCTGGCCTGGAGGCCTCCGAGGGGCGTGGTGCGGTGAGCCACCTACGTCCCCTAACGAATCCGTCAGGAAACCCCTTACAATCAGTCACGATCGTGATGGGCCATCACCGTGATGGGGGGGATGTAAACCTTGGAAACCTGCAAAAAGGCGCACATTTCAGCTCTCGGTGAGGCCTGAAGAGGGCCAAGGATATTACCATATAGTACAGTACATATTCCACTGGAGGTAAGCTGCGCGAACCCCCATCCAGCCCGAGCACACTCAAGCCAAATCAACAGTTTCCTGCATGCGCCATGTGTGAACACGCGACCAGTGATCCCGTGGGGGTTGCCATACAGGACGTGCCACTCTGAGGAAACGACGCGGGGAGGCACCATCTGGAAGCACGAACGTCCTACTAACCCACGATCGCAGAGCCATGCACCTCGTTCTTTAGGTGGGAAGCCCCTGATATTAACATCTCGAAAATGGTGGAGTCGCTTTTGCTACGTGCGAACACTCCCAGATGAAGTGGTGGCCGTCGCAAACTTCACAACCACATAGCGGACAGGTCACCTCGGCGCCGTATCCGCATTGCTTGCGCCGATAGGGGGTCCACATTCCTCCAGCGATGATGGCGAGCAGAAGGCCTGCCTCTTGCTGCGTGGGCTTCCAGTTCCTATTGTGCTGTCCAGTGGGCTCTGCCTGCGGCTCCTGATTAGGTCCTGGAGGTCAGCCTGGGAAACGCCACGATGAGGAGGGGGGCGCTCATGCCCGGGGAGACGAAGGACAGGTCCTAGCCAATGCCCCCGCGGTTCCCGAGGAAGCATGGGCTCGGCAGAGCCCATGGGCCGACTGGCCCATCTTTGCCACAACCGCCTAAAGGCTTCTTCCCGAGCCAGATGAAGTACAGTGGATGGGGGCGCCCCTGGCGAAGTCTATGGTGTCTCCGAGGTCGGTCTTGATCAAGTGCCCTGCCGGGGTCGCCCAATGAAGGTCCCGAAGCACGAGTAGGCTGGCCCAGGCGGGACCTGAGACTTTCTTTCGCCCAGGGCTGAGACGCGGCGCGCAAGGTGCGCACGTGCTGCTGCCAAGCTTCCTGGAAAACTCCAACTGGAAACAAAAACACGATCGCGATAGAGAAGCACCCACTGGTAAACAGGCATGGCCCAGGCCATAACACGGGGATCGGAGTACGCGGTGGACTGCGCGCACGCTGTGAGCCACGCAGATGCAGCCCCACCAGGAGAGCGCCAAGATTGCCTGAGAACTTTACGCATCTTGGTACCAACTGCGGCGGGGCGCCGTGCACACCCACTCCGTAGGTCACGGTTGGCGGAATGGCCTGCCCAACGAAACGCGTTGAGACATGGCCCGCTCGACGCGCGGCCCGAGACCTATGCGCACGAGCTGCCGTGGCACGCACTCTTGACCTGACCTTCATGTATTTGATGGGTTTCCCTGCGGCGATTTCGATCCGCGGGGCCTCCAGGGTGTTGCAGTAAACGCGCCCAAGACCTCGACGTTTGACACAAAGTAAACGACGGGTAACGTTCAGTTTGTTCCTCGCCGTCGGGAAGCCAAGTGTATCCAACGTGCACCAATAATCGGAGAACCTTCGCGGTGTCCTCCAAGAGCCTGGACGCCGGGCCAAGGGTGGACAGGGTGATATCGTCGGCATACAGGTCGACCGAGCGCCCCACGATGGCAACGCGCGCAAACAAAGCGCCGAAGGGTGCGATCATGACGCACCGAAGGGAGCACATCGCGAATGCACGCCATGGCATGACCCCTCTGCGCGACCAAGTGGCCGCCGAAAAACATCCGCCCCACACGAGTGCCCCGGCACCTGGATACATCCTCAGCGCCAAAACAATCAACGGCCCAGGAAATCCAAACGCAGAGGCACCCAAGAACCATGGACCAGGGTAATGTGTCAAAACGCCTGGCGAGATCCACTACGGCGCGCAGTGAAGCGTGCTCGGTGTCGGCGGCAGGCTTGCCAGTTTCGCGCTGAACGAGCACTCTTGCTGCAGCGCCACTGGTGAATTTCTGCGCTCCGAGGGCCAAGTAGGCCCCGTGCAGCTTCGGGGCCCAATCTTGCACCCAAGAGAGCCTCGCTTTGGCCCAGACCCTATGCAGGGAGGGGAGGAGGGCTATCGGACGATCGCCCCCCGTTAGTTGAGCGAGAAGAACCGCGCGCCCGCTTCGGAGTAGCCCAGGCCAGGTCCCAAACGCCTCACACATACACACATATATATATATATATGTTTACGGTACTCCGTCACTGCAAGAGCCCTTTTAGAGACATGCCCCCAGTGGCGAAGTCGAAATCGGTCGGCCCCTGGTGCCGTGCGTCGTGAAACTTGCAACGCTGCGTATCGGAGATCGGCGATCTTCAGCAGCCCCTGCATTCCCGCAGGAGCGTCGACCGCGGAGCCCAGGAGGTAGACCGCGAAAGCGCGCTTCGCGTGGGATCAAATTTGCGCCACCGGACCCCGCGAGGGCGATCCTCAATAAAGTCCGAAAGAAAGGTCTAGACACGAATGACTTTCCGAGGGCCCCCCAGAGATCGCAAGACGAACGTCGCGAACTCGATTTTCCAGCGTGCGGAGAGCCCGAGAATACGAGGCCCCTGCAAGCTGGCATCTGGCAAGGGCGCCACCTGCAGTCGGCGGTCGATACTTTGATCCACTAGAACGGCCTTGATAATTATTTTGTTCTGCGGGGGCTTCGCGAAACATGGGGGCCAACTCAGCCTCGGCCCCGCCATGCGGCATGCGAGTCATCATGGTTGAACGCGCCTGACGTTCCTGGGGGTGGGGGGGGATTGTTAACGAGCATCATCCGCCCATCAAATCCCCCCACGGTACCAATGGAGAACCTCTCTGCGTACTGAAGTTGATCTCGCCATCATCATCGCGGGGGTCCTCGCGCACGCCTGCGGCAAGATGAGCTGGCAGGGCCTGAGGCCCAGCTAAGGCAGTGACTGCCTGCGCCCGCACACCCCCAGACAACTGAAATCGTAGGCATAAACGGGAACTCCGCCAGGCGCTCGGGGGCGCCCGCGCATGCCGCCGTGCAATCGGACGCGGGCACGCGGTCATCCAACGTGTGCGATCCAGTCTTGGGATCACGATAAGCACCCTGGGCTGGGACCACGCGGCGCCCTTGAAGTCGATCGCAAAATCCCGAGGCACTGAGTTCAGTGGGCACCAAATTCCAATCCCCACCGGTCACGGAAATAATCTGATGACATGACAGATCGGACCCAAGTGTTTTGACCTTGCCCGCGTCGGGGC